ATAAAGTCCAGGCACCTGAATGATCTTTTCTGCATATAGATAGAAAAGTGTTGGGAGACATGATGCATCCCCTCCCACACATCTTTCCTGATTTTGAACCATGCAATGCTTCCATATCTTTTCTGATGACTGTTTCTTATTTACTCCCAATTTACAGCCCAACTACAACTAATTAAACTCTTTTATTCCCCCTAACCCACTTTGGGGATTCTGGTAACCTAGTGGATAAGGAGCTATTACACCAACCTAATGGCCCTGGTTTTAACCCACCAGACATAAGCAATCTCCTCTCATCTGATCCACAACCTCTGAAAATCCACTGGAGGGTCAGCTCTGAACTGGTTCCAACTGGTAGCACGTAACAACAACCATATGTAAAAAAAAAAAAAAAAGCCAACATTATGTAACTAAATTAGTTTCTAATATAATGAAAACACAGGAAAAAATCTTCACCATCAAATAGCCATTTAAACTGAATTAAAAACTTGGCCATTCCTCTGGTTTCTTTAGCCCCAGACCACCTATACCTGATTTGTCTTCTCCAGTCAACCTGATTTTAATAGTTCAATCATTTAAACTGTTCTTACAAAGTACCTTTAAATGTGTCAATCCTGCCTTTTGCAACAACTATGTCAAGAACAACCTGGGTCTTTTTACTTTCCTTGACACTGTAGGACATAATTTCTTTTTACTTTCCTTGACACTGTAGGACATAAAGTTACAGAAATAGTTTTTGCTCTATGGCAGACATAGAGCTGAAAATGTAATAATTATATTTTTTAAGAAACCAAACAATATGTTCAAATCCATTGCCGGAATCAAAACCAACTCATATCTGACAATCCAGTAGGTTTTAGGGAGTTACAAATCACACAGGAGGCCACAGTCCATCTTTCTTCCACAGAGCCACTGGTGAAGAGGCACTGTTTTTCAGTTAGCTGGGCAGTTCCTAGCAATTCTGCCATGAGAGCTCCCTGTATCATGGATAGTCAATAAATATTAAGAGAAACACAGTAGTGAAGACAACACTGAATTTCTTAAAGTTCGTCAAAGTATACATTTGACCTCCTTTTTCTAAGGCAGACTATAGTACTACTGGTATTTTGGATACAAAAAGAACTATCAAAAACCAAAACAGATCTAAAACTTCAATTAAATATCTTTGTAAACTCCAGAGCTGACTATTTGATTACAATAATAAATCTCAAACTAACCAATCTTAACTGATGTCTTAATACACATACAACTGCACACATGGAGACATATATGTGAAAGATACAGATCAGTAACTCAGGGACTGGCTATCATCTATTTTTTTAAAACACTACTGCATGGTTCAAAATTGGGAAGGGCGTACGCCAGGGATGCATCCTCTCTCCATACCTTTTCAACCTATATGCAGAACAGATTATCCGGGAGACCAGGATCTATGAGGAGAAATGTGGGGTCAAGACTGGTGGACGATTTATCAACAATCTGCGTTATGCGGATGACACAACCCTGCTTGCTGAAACTGAAGAGGACCTGAAGCGCCTGCTGCAGAGTGTCAATGACTGAAGCCTACAATATGGATTGAGGCTCAATGTCAAGAAGACAAAGATTCTCACCACTGGACCAATTGGCAGCATCAGGATGGATAGTGAAGAGATTGAGATTGTACACAGCTTTAGTTTGCTTAGCTCCATAGTCAACAGTCTTGGCACCAGCAGCCAGGAAATTAAAAGGCGCATTGCCATGGGAAAGTCTGCTGTTAGGGACCTCTCCAAAGTACTGAAGAGCAATGGTGTCTCTCTGGAGACTAAGGTGCGTCTGATACAAGCCATGGTCTTCGCAATCACTTGTTATGCATCAGAGAATTGGACAATGACCAAGGAGGATAGAAGGAGAATTGATGCCTTTGAGCTGTGGTGCTGGAGAAGAGTATTGAGAATACCATGGACTGCTAGGAAAACAAACAGGTTCATCCTGGAAAGGGTTAAACCGGGTGGCTCCTTGGAGGCAAGGATTCTGAGGCTCCGTCTAACATACTTTGGACATGTTGTGAGGAGAGACCGGTCCTTAGAGAGGGACATCATGCTTGGGAGGGTGGAGGGACAGCGCAAGAAAGGAAGGCCCTCTATGAGGTGGATTGATTCAGTGACTGGGTTAATTGGGATGGGAGTGTCAGAGACAGTGCGATTGGTACAGGACAGAGTGGAGTTTAGGGCTATTGTACATAGGGTTGCTATGAGTCGCAAGCGACTCGACGGCACATAACAACAACAACAACAATGTAAAAACCCCTAAAATTATGTAAGAACTATCTGAGGAATAGGAGAAGGCCTAGGAGGAGGGCAGAGAGTTGGGGATGGATGGGATGAAGGTTCTGAAAGGGAGATAATTTCTATAAAGTAATATAAAAATAGCCTAGTATTTAATAGGTGAAGTAAACATATTTTACTTTAAAATAAAAGTTTTTAATCATAAGAGCAGTCCAAATATGAGTGGGCTTCTCAAAGGAAGTATATTTCCCATCACCAGAGATGGAAAAGCACAGGCGGCACAGTCTATGCAGCAAAAAATGCCGAGGGCAAACTGTGTGTGAGATAGAAGTACGTCTTAGAAACTTCTTTCTTAGTTTCAACATTTTGTTTCTGAGTCCTGAAATATCTATTTCACTCTGACCCACCACTGAATGTGCTTCCATGAAAGAACATGCCTGGGTAAAACAGAAGGGAGAAATAAAGATGTGTTTACATCATCCTGAAACAGAACACATTTCCTTTGAAAACATGACCATAGAGAATAAATACAATTGACAGAATTAAAACAGCCCTTGGAAAAATACATCATGCTAGGAAAGGTGGAGGATCAGAGGAAAAAGACCCTCTACAAGACAGATTCATACACTGACTGTACCAATGAGCTAAAGCATATCAGAGATGGTGAAGATGATGCAAATAGATGATGCAAAAGAATAGGGCAAAGTTCAGATCTGTTATTCTCAGAGTTGCTATGAGTCCTAGTTAACTCAATGGTACTTAACAGAAACATTTCACAGAAAAGTTAAATACAATTTCTTAATCTAAGTGTCAATCAATATGATTTCCTTGGCCAATCTATACTCCAAATTTACTCAAGTGATCATGTTCATGTGGGAGCTTACCTGTATTACTTTACATACTCTATTATTGTTTTACATGCTAGCTTTATTTCTCTATTGTACAAATTCCTTGTAAGGAGAACTACTATTTATATTTCTGAATATTCCTTCAGATCTTTAGCGTGCTCCTGATTAACAAATTCTGCTTCAACAAATAGAGACTAAGTTCTTGAACTATCATGAAATTTTGTAATTACTTATTTTGTAGTGAGTTAGGATGTAAATTACTTTCAAGTCCTGCTCAGAGTTCAAGTCCTGTTCTGAATGCTGTGTAACTTTTCCCCCATTCATATGTATTGTGTTATACAATCTTTCACTTATACTGTGCTTCATACACTTTGTATTCTAAATAATTAATTTCCATTGACCTATGTCTATTATCAACACCCTCTTTTCAAGTTCCCCTTGAATCTTTCCTATTCCTTAACTCCACTCCCCCACAGACCACCCACTAAACTCTCTTGTCCTAGGGATTGCCACCCTTCCCCTAGAATGGAAATCTCTGTAACTCTGAGGTAATTAAAACTCTCCAAGCCTCAATTTTCCTATGTGCAAAAGAGTGAATGCTAAGATTACGGAAAATAGCCCAGATAAGAGTAACTAGCACAGGCTAAGTGTTCAGTAAATGCTTAGTATAATGCTCTCTGCATTACAGTGAACATTAAATAATGGGGCACTTATTACTACCACTTAATTTAACTCAAAAAATAGTGCCAGATAGTAGTATTGAAAGTTTATTTTTGTTTAAGAAGTAGTGCACATCCTCCTGTGTCTGTCAAAACATTCAAACGAATGTATTAGATATGACGTCTAAGTATGATAGTAATTTTTTTTTTTTTTAAATAGCTCTGGGACAGAAAACAGTTTCATTCAGACTCCTCTACAGAAATTCAATAGTCAAGAGACTAGTTTTCAAAAAAAAATAAAAAAAAAAAAAAGAGACTAGTTTTCAACTGGAAAATTCTGAGCCTAAGTCAACTAACAGAAAAGGTCACACTGCCTAGCAATTTGTCCCCTCTTCCCTAGCCGGTCTTGTTTCTTTTTACACCTGAAGGCACGAAATACGTAAGTATATTTCCTCCGTCTCGAACTTGACACGTCTTACATACAAGGCCCGGTTCCTCACTCAGAAAGTGTAGGATGAGAAGCACTAGAAACTCCCTGGAGGGAAGATCCTAAAGGGGACCCAATGTTCTCACCACACCTAAAGCGATCCAGCCATAGGGCCCACAGAGAACCGCCCACCCAACTTAAGTGACAGACACGCTGCCACCTCATCATCGCCCAGTCCAATCTCTTGCCTATCACTTTGCCACACTTTCCCACAGCAAAACAAGCATAACCGGTCTACAGATCCTTTTTCTCTAGATACCATTTCAACTGCCATATCAATTTCTGCAAAGGCAAAAGAGATGAGAACCCACCTGGAGCAGATGCTTCCCTTTTCAGAAACGGCAAGACTGACGCCAGAGCGCGTGCGCACTTCCGAAGCATCGCTCAATCGCTCACATGACTGAAAATGGTTAGGTTTCATTAGGTGTTTGATTAAAAAGCCTTACCGTGAGCTTGGCTGGATTCCGCCTTTTGCGCATGTGCTTGCTCGCTAAACTTTCTGGGAGTTGTAGTTCAGTGGAGAACACACTTGTTGCTGTAGAATCACGACCTTCAAGTCTTCCCTGACTCTGAGGGTGGTTTTTGGAGTCCGTATATTGCACAAGAGTAGATTGTTCATCTTTCTCCCATAGAGCTAATGGTGAAGAAAGGCTGAATTAGGAGAAAAGCAAAGAGATTCCTTCCCTTCTTTCTAAAAGTCAAGAGGCTGAGCCACAGGGGCCGAGTTTTCTGGACAGTTTCTGCGATGCTGTTCCTATGGTTGTTGTCCGTGGTCTCCGCCTCAACTGTCGCTGTGCCAGCACCCGAAGCTCGTGGGCAAAGCAAGAGGGCACCTCACACCCAGGTGGAAGCGCCTAATGTGGTGCTGGTCGTGAGCGACTCCTTCGTAAGTATCTTTAGGCTGGAGTGGGGTGTCCTGATGACCAGCTGCCAACTCACAGCGCTTCCCAGGGAGGAGAATCAGAGAAACTTTTCACCATGTTTGCCCCAATGCGTTGTTGAGAAATATACATTTTACTTAGAAGTTCCATATGCTTGCACACGCACATCACTTGCTTATTATGCTCAACTAAAAGTTTTGAAAAGCAGTGCGCTCTGGTAGCGTCTGTGCAAATTTAAAAAAAAAATTACCATTAGCCTTCTAATTTATTTTACTTCTTTTAGGTTAGGTTAGGTTAGGTTAGGTTAGGCTAGGTTAGGTTAGGTTAGGTAATGGACTTAAAGAAGAAATCAGAGAGAACGAGAGAAAGCTTAATGCAGCTTTATTAAAATGGGGAAAGGGGAGCTCCCAGGTGAGTTCCTCATCCTGGAGAGGCAGAATGGGAAGTCACACTGTGAACTTACTGAGAAGGATTTTTATCAACAGAGTCTTTAGGGAGGGACATTCCACTGATTTACGAGCCACCTGCTAGCTTAGACAGGCAAGGCCATTTTCTTATCTTCAACAGCAAGGCCATCAGCATTTGAGTTCTGAATTCTTCATTCTTCTCTTTGGCCTCTTTGCCCAGACTAACATCTTAGACTCTTTTTAGTGATAAAACAGGGCGACGTATCTTTCTTTTGGCTACTTCCTGCTAAACAGGGGCAACGATCTTGGGGTTCAGAGCCTGGGGTGAGTCAGTCTGGGATTAGTGGCCAGGGGAGAATTAACATGGTCATCTTCTTGATCCTGTGAAGTAAAAAACTTAAAGAGACATGGAGTGATTAATAACAGTATGCTTATGATTACTATTGGTCTTAGAGAAGGGGAAATTTAAGTTAGAGATGAGTTTTTGAGTTAATTTGGGAGAAGGCTTGTGGTTGAATGCTGTATAGAGTCTTATTACATTAAAAGTGTTGTCCTGGTTTAGCTACAGTGTGCTTGTTTATGCTGGCATTGTGTATACAGTTTTCATGTTTCACTGCAGAGGGTGTTAGATGCAAGTGGGCTTAGTGGTCTTACCGGGCTTTGGTTTTCAGAAGGGAATGTGTTCTTGAGTGGTGGAACACTCAATTTGCGCTGATGGAATGGCTTGAGGTGTTTTGGTGGAGTGTAGTTTAGAGAAATTGATGGGTACTGCTGCTAGCAAAGGTCGTTGTAAAGAGACAGACAGTTAACAATGAGAAAGGTTGGTTGCCATTTGACTTTGGTTAAGGAATAGTAAGGTGCAGGTGCTCTGGATAATTTAGAACTAAGTTGGAGCTTGCATAGTTTGTGGCTCTCCAGAGGCTTGTTGTATCATTGTCTGCTTAGCTTGGAGAATGTTATTGGAGACTTCTACTTGGGTATTGGCATTTAGAGCATAGGAAATTTACTTAGTGAGGGGAACATGTTTGACTTGAGAAAGGTGGTGTCAATGGGGGTCACCCATGACTTTAATAGCTGTGGAAGTGGTTAGGGTGACTGCACAGGACCTGCTTCAGTATGGTAGGAGAGGCTTGGGTGCCTGCTATTTGATGAGAGTGGTGTTTCTGAAGTGACTTTAGTGGCTTGGTCCAGACCTTCAGATGAGAGTCTGGGTATACAGCAATGTGAGTGTTTTTCAGAGTAACTGTTTAAGGAGGGAGAGACAAGGCACGATGCCAAAAGAAGGGGCTTGGTGAGCAAGTTACGGTTTAGCAGAAGGAGTTGGCTGTACATCAGTTGGAAGGAATTTAGAAAGGAAGGTGAACAGAGTGTTGTTCAAGTACAGGCTAAGGCAATAACAAGTAAGGTAACTTAAGACTTGTGTAACTTGACAGTCAGTGAGTCTGTATATGTGCCTTGTTTTGCCTGAAGACTGGGAGTGATATGATATGTACAGCTTATAGCAGATACTTAAACTAGATGATGCCTGCTGGGTGTTTTCGGAGATGAAGCTAGGACCATATTAAAGTAGGGAGGCCAAAGATGGGAATGGTATGCTGGAGTGAAGCTTAGTTAGGCTTAGAGTTGAATTTTGTTCAACTTCTTAAATCAGTCTGGTGTTTTGAAGGTTTGTAATGGTAAGAGGCAGAAAACCCTTGTGAAGGGTGTTCCCAAGGACAGTACAAAGAGGAGCAATTGGAAGGCAGATCAAACTCATGGAGGAGTGCAAAGAATTGAGGTGATGTAGCACATCCTAGGTGCTTTTAGGCCAGAGAGTATGAGACAGGTTACATAGACTTTCAATTTTGCAGAGTTCTTAGAGAATTTTAACATGGAATCAGGGCAGACTCCGAGGTAGAGAGAAACATGGAAGTGGACAGTAAAGAAAAAGTTTGAGTATAAACCCTTGACTACTTGCCATTTCAGTTCTTATGTTTTGAAGGACAGATGGATTGAACGAGCCAAAATTCGGTTACACAATTTGAGATTGCTTTAAATCAGGTGTGATGTTGAGGATGCACAATTTTCAGAGGAGAGCTGTCCCCGGGACAGGTCCTCCGATTAGGCATAATGCTGGAGGTTTGTGAGGAGTGCTGTCCCTGGGACAGATCCTCAGATTAGACATAATACTGGATGTTCGCGAGTTTGGAGGAGGAGAGCTGTCCCTGGGACAGACCCTGCCTTTTTAATGAGGTAAAAGAGCCAAGGCAATCCCTGGGCGCCTCAGGGATTGACTGGACCCTCACCTCAAGAGAAGTGGTGTTTGCAGTTGAGAATTGAAGCCAGTGTTGGATGTATTCAGATTTAAATGGCAAATTGTCCTTCAATTTTTGGGACTAGCATAATAGAACAGAGAGGAAAAAGGACAAAGCAAAGAAGTTTGGCTTAGTTTAGAGGGTATAAACCAGACCAATAAAGAACCTGGGAAAGCATTTTGCTTTGCTTATGTAGCAATGAGGCCTTGAAAGCTGCTCCTTCTGAGAGAGCAGCTAAGATACGGACATTATTTTTACTAGGGGAGAAGAAAATATTAGGATTTTGAGGAAAAGTGGGTAGAGCTTCTGTATCTGCTTAGGAGAACATAAGGAAGAAAATGATTTGAAAGTAGATTTCAAAGTCTGTGCCTTGAGAAAACTTGTAGGGGGCTTCTTAAGGTAAGTTGCAGTGCTTTTTAGTGAGGAGAGCAGCTTAGGTGTGTAATGGGTGTTAAGGTGGGTTTAAGAGGTTGAGCTCAAACACCAACAGCAATAATTGATTTTCATCAGTGAACAAGTGAAGTGTTTAGAGGAATTTGGTAAAGTAAGGGATGGGAACTGTGGAATGAAGTATTAGAGTTTGAGAAAGGTTTTGCAAGTAAAGAAAAATTGGGGATCCAGTGTCTGAGGAAATTAATAAAGCCAAGAAAGGAGAGGATTTGATCAGCAGTTTGAGGAGGTTTGGGGCTTTTAATGGCTATGTGCAGACTGTTAGACTTCTAGTGGTGGGCCTTAACTGAAAGCTGGTATGTGTGACTGTGAGGAGAGACAGTTGGGCCTTGGAAGGGGATACTCCGTATCCTTTGGAGGCCAAGAATTTTGAGCAGTGTGAGTGTGGGACTGCACACCGAAAGATTACTTATTTATTTAGGATAAGAAGTTTATAGGAAAGTGGGCAAGTAATGATGGTTTTTAAACTTCTGTAGTGTTGTGTGGAGACAGGGAATGAGGTTTAGCAGGAAAAGAAGAGGAGTTCTTTAGAGTAACGAAAACAGGTTGGTAGTGAGAGGTTACAGATGAAGTGGAAAGATACTATATGATAAGGTTGACAATGCCTGGTGAGTGATAC